GTAAATTAAATATCTGTGAAATGATGATGAACAAAGTGACAAGCACCCAGATTTCAAAAGTTCCTTCGGCAGGAAAGCCATGGCAAAGCTTAAACTGCATTTCCTCAAGAAACCAGAGAATATGCTAAGAGTCAAGTATACATACAAGGATTTTATTAGATCTCTATTAAATAGGTGTTGATGGGGATAGGAGTAGATAAAATCAAACACTCAGAGAGTAGCTCAACACTTGAGTGCTAAACAGCCATGCAGTTTTCTCTATGTCATCTCATCAGTACACATTCATCACAAAATAAACAACAAGGCTAAACCAACTCAGGTCTGGGCTTCCAACTCTAGATCAGTAGCATGAATTACTTCATAGCTCAGGGGTGTGGGAAAATAAGTTCAAGTTCAGATTTAATGCATTCAAGATGCACTGTATCAATACAGGGAGCCAGGATTAAAACAAGTCCATAAATACCTAAATAATTTATGAGAACTTCAAAGGACTAAACAAAATGTAAATCAAAGCCACTAATGCACAAATGTACATTTTAGAGATTTTCAGCCATCCACGAGGTGAGAAACAAGATAGTAATTCACATAACTCCTCTGAGTCCTGTGGGGTGGAAAGGACGTCAGCTCACGTGCACCTCTTCAGAAAAAGGGGCACCCTTACGGAGAGGTCTGGGAATGCCTGTTTTAGGAGGGTGTCTTTGCCACAGACACACTGTGTCCAGAGCAATGATACCCTGCCCCAAGAAGCTCTCCTGACTCCACTCCCAGCGGGTAAAAGTAAAACCACTTGGTTACATCTCAATCAAGTAAGACTATACCCTGTTCACAGCTCTAAGCAAAAGTACATGAAATAGCAGGATATATATACACATTACACATCTGCTTTGTTCTCAAAAGCAGGTAGTATCTTCAAATTCAGAATAACCTCTGAGGCATAGAGAGATACTGCTGCTTATTTTTTTTTAAGTTTGATAGTTGCTGATTAAATGAGAGGAGATGGCAAGCACACACCCTCCTCCCTTAGCAGTCCGGCAAGTATCATCCAAAGTCAAAAGCTTAATATGGATTAGTTCCACGAAGTTATCTGAGATAGTCATTCCCAGACTTTATGGATGGTGATTATTATCATATGAATACCAACTATGCATAAGTATCCTTAAATAAACTTTTCCAGATAGAGCATTGCACTCAATGGCAAAGCAATTACCAGAAAACACATTAATTTCAGTAAGAGGATACCATAAAAAGTATTCTGTGGTTTTATGCACTTTCTTGGCTTGAGCAGTATTTGCAAAGAGTTTACTTTACGGCCTGCCTCTTGGCTTTGCAGCTATTGATATAAATCTGTGCTGCATCACATCCATCTTTTAGTCAGAAACTGTCATCTCTGTTGTCAACCAGAAAAAAAGCAACAGGTCCAAAACATAATTTCATGGATGTCAGGGCACCTTGCTGCCACTGAAAGGCAGACATAATATTCCACTTGCATAAATTTTAATCAAAAGAAAAAGGTGCCAACAGAAAATTATTTAAGCACACAGATATACACCTCACATTTCTATCCTCTGTAGCAATGTTACGTGTAATAACAGAGCCTAGTCTAGAGCAGACCAGAAATAAATCCTGCACGACTCTTGCCAAGGTCAGATTTGTGCAGTTCCCAGGACTCCTGTGTGTCAGAACACTCATTTTTCTACCTTTCCTGTTGTCTCCGGTACAGGAACAGCACCCCACTGCACCTTCCAGGAAAAAGGGCAGTATGGATAACGTAGATGGTCCTGCAGAGTTAAAGGCAGTACATTGCTTCATATGGAGCAGATTTCTGCTAAAGTACTCAAATACCATAAAAACCTGTTGGGTAGCTTTGGCTTGAAGAGGCAGTGCCTCTTTAAGAAAGTGTAAAAACTCTTTCGGGTACAAACAACTGCCTTTGAAATGAGAACACAACACAGGGCACTTCAGCGTTATTTTACCAAGGCTGTAAAGAGCTCTCCCAGGCTCATTCCTGTTAATTGTATCTTTGCAAAGTGCAGCCAAGCGGATGCAGAATGATTACTGTTAATGTGCTACCCAAATGGCCCTGAATGGATGCAGCTTTCCCTCTTTCCTTATTCCTCCTCCTTGTCCTTTGGCTCCGAATGGAGCTCTAAAGAAATTCTGCACTGGGATTATGCAGATAAAGGCAGACTCAGAGAAAGACTAGTTCTGTCACAGAGCAGCAGTTAAAAAACTACTGGAACACAAACTGTTTTGGTGCTTTTTAGGCAGCTGCATTCAATGCAAGGATAACCCCAGAGTAAAAAGTCACAATCTTTCTCATCAGTGGATGATTAACAGAGGAATTTGGCTCCTAATGAAGTCAGCCAGCCCCCAGACTCCACTGGTAAATCCCTTCTTGTCATCTTTCACATTCAGCTCTGACTCATTTGCAACAAAAGTTCAATCCCCAGCCTATTTATTTTTTCCACCATTCTTTCTGCAGCAGTTAAAGTACATACTTTGCAAATGCAGTGAAAGGGATGGTGGACTACAGGCACACAATGCACTGGGACTGCATCAGGAAGAGACACACCTGAGTTAGCTTTGGGGAACTGAAATACCTGTGTCAATGAACACGATCCAGGCACATACCTCAGCGCTGGCCAACACCTGTATGTATTTACACTGCACAGGCCACGCTGGGGCTTGGGCCACTGCAGCTCCCTGGAAATCAGCTGCCCTGAGTGAACTTGGCACATCTGCACCTGCCACAGTCCCACCTCCAGGCACAGTGGGAGCTGAGGAAGGGGCTCCTCTGTTTGGGAGCAGCCGCCAGAGCTGAGTTCCCGCTATGGACGGGCAGAGTGCAGATTTGTGCTGCTGCAAAGAGGCAGGGTGACAGCGAAGCCCTTCAAATGGGAACAAGGATGGATGGTTAGTTTAAACTGCTAGGCCCTGAAGTACTCACCAGAATCACAGGCTGGTTAAGGTTGGAAGGGACATTAAAGATAATCCAGTCCCATCTCCCTGCCACTGACAGGGACTCCTTCCACTAAAGCAGCTTGCTCTGAGTCCTGTTCAGCCTGGCTCTCAACACTTCCAGGACTTAATCTGAATGGACTTTGATTGTAATGACTGTGGCTTTTAGACATCAAAATAAACTCAGAGGCCTGAAAGCTTCTGTGCTTTTCCCAGGAAATCAGTAATTAATAATAGATAGCATCTTTCCAAGATTTATTGTTACTTCCTAGATCTATGTAGCATCAATTAGCGAAGTTCTCTTTGAGACATTCTTCTAAAGATTTCTTTTTAAGAAATGTATCGAGAAAATTATTTAAATTTTTTAGTTTAGAAATAGTTTCTGAATAATTCCTTCAGTACAGAGTATCTTTTCATCTATGCTGTGTGATCAAAAAGTAAAAATTATTATGCTATTTCACTGCTCCATTCAATAAAAAAATATGACCCTACTGTATGATTATGTCTAATTAAAAGGTGGGTTATAATTAATGAAGCACAAAACAGCAAAAAAATTAACAATGAGCTCTTTTCTGGTAAGAACAATACAAGCATCTTCCTGATCAATTATGTCACACATACTGCCTGAGCAGAATCACCTTATGATTCTCGCATTACCCACACAGACATCACCATCTGTGTAACTGAATATATTTTTCTGTATGTTTGTATCAGCCACTGAGTGGCAGCAATTCCTTCATACCTAAATCTGAATTATGAGATGTAGGACTGAAATCTCATAGGATTCCCAAATCTTAATTCTTTTGGGCTCCCCCTAAGTTCTTTTGTGTTTAGCAGAACAGGCAATAATAACAACTAGTGAAATGCCTTATTGCACTTTTCAGCTTTTTAGCTGTCCAAGTTCCAAAAGTAATGCACTTCATTCTGAAAATCATACACCCTTAGAAATGGGATGTATTCAATTTCAAAAAACATAGTAAAACTATGTGGGTCAAAGAAACTGAAAACACTGGCATTTAATAATTTCTTAAATTAAAGCACACCCCTGCATTTTATTATGAAATCCAAGGTGAGGATGAGAAACATCAAAAAAGTCAGTTCTCCCCTTGTACGTATCAAGGGATGGGATACAGGACAATTTCATCCTTGCACATAAACTGCCTGCAAGAGCTCCTAGGTCCTGATCTACGCTCTCTGCTCTGTGCTACTTGGATAACCCAGAAGTGAAGTTGTGCAACAGACAGGGCCCGCAAGTAAAGAGATGTCAGATGTAACCACAGAACGCTGTAATCCAATTATTTTAATATTTCATGCCCTAATGCAAACAGGGAATTCTCTAGCGATTAACTGAAAACTGTTTTCTAATAGATGCACGCCTGGCATGTACATACACAAAAGCATCAGGCATTCCTGCTCCTTCATTTCTTACTGTCTGTCGCCATTCAGATGGAAACCCGACCATTTCAAAGACTCTGCATTTCATCTGCTCAAACTCACTGTGGCACGGAGACCGAAACAGAGAGTCGGGGCGGCTGGCTAGGAAAAAAGTTGGTGGTATCAAAGGTGACATTTCTACCGGGAGAAAACTCCACGTTTCTGTCCGGGACCTACCCCGGGCATCTCGCCGCCTCCTGGCACGGGGCACAGCGCTCTCCCTCCGGCATCCCCCGCGGCTTTCCCCGCTCCGAAGCGGCCGGTCCCGTCCGCAGCACCCGGGGGGAGCTCGGGCGGGCCGGGGCCGCAGCCCCATCCCCGCAGCCCAACATGGAGGCTCCGGAGGAGGCAGCCCGGGCCGGGGGCACAGCCCCGCCGCCTGCCGCCCCACCCCAGCGCCGAGGCGCTGCCCGGGACACACGGGGGACCGCGGCTGAGCTCCGGAGACCTTCAATCTCCCTCCCCGTCGCTCTGCCCGCCGGGCGCCCCACGGAAGCCGGGCGGGCCGGAGGGAGCCGGAGCCCGTCTCGCTTCCTCCTTCACCCCAGGCGGGGCAGGAACTGCCGGGCGGCGGCAGCGCCGCGCCGGGGGCAGGTACGGGTACTCACCGCGTCCGAGGAGCCGTCGGGAGCCGCGGCCCCCACCGAGTTTCGGGCACTGTCCCGGGATACGGAGAGCGAGAGCGAAGGAGTGCGGGCGGAGGGATGGGAGGGAGCAGTGTGTGCCCGGCACGGCTCGACCCGGCCCTCCCCGCCCCGCGCTCCGCTCCGCCCCCGGCCCAGCTGTGGCCGCCCTCACCTGCCTCCTGCCTCTGCTGCTCCTCCTGCCGCTGCCCCTCCCCGGAGGTGCCGCTGTGGCTGTCCCTGCCCGCGCTCCCCCCGGCTCCGTCCCCTCCCCGCTGTCCCCCTTCCCCTCTCCCGCGGCGGCGGCCGCGTGTGGGGACGCCCGAGCCCTCAGCGGGAGCCCCGCGCCGGGCCCCGCCCGAGGCTCCGCTCCGCACCTGGGCTCGGTGCCGTGCTGAGGGAGGGGCTGCGCCCGCGGCAGAGCTCCTGTGGTGGTTGGGCTTTGGGAGCCTTTCGTCCGCTGCTTACCCGGACACGGGGAGGCACCGGGGTTTGAAGCGCCAGAGCTCGGAGTGAGCCCCTGCCCGGCGTGGAGCTGCACTCAGGTGTCCTCAGCCTTTACTGAGCTTTTGGTTAAAACATTCTATACTGGCTTAGAAACCACGGATGTTGTTTTACAACGGGGCCGAACCCCGTAGCTCTGTGGTCACTGCCGCGGCCTCAGTGAGCTCACCTCAGAGGTCTCAGCCTTGGCTGGTGTGCCCGAGATTGGAGGCCTTCACCGGGTCATTCTGGGTGCCAGCCGGGGCTCCCCTTGTCCCTGCTCTGCTCTGGGTGATGGGGCTCGGCTTTTATTCAAGTGCTGTGTTTGTGTTAAAATGAGATATTTTAGGGATAGGCGGCAGCACAGGAATGTGTGATGTGTAGGAACCGAGAAAACCCCTCCATACTTCAAGGCAGACCTTTGTCATCACTTTTTAACCCACACAGGTCATATATAATTGCTCTCATGTTTTCATCTTAAATGACCTCATTCAGCTCTAGCTGAAAACGGTGATGAAATTGCCGGTGTTTTTGTGGTGCTGTGGTAACCGGGTGTTTCTCTGGGCAGGTGTCAGACCCTGGTGAGCAGCAGGGGTGGCAGCATTGCAGGGGCTGTGACCCAACTCTTATATTGCTGCATTCTGAAACGCCAAATTCCACCCATTTGATGTCCAGCTTCTTTCCAGAACATTTCACTCGATAGCTGTAATGTCAAAGTTCCTTGCTTGATCTATCTGACATCATCTTGGAAAGGCTATAATATGTATATAAATCAGTCAATAGTTAATTTATAGTTGGAGAGTCTAATTTGAAGAAACTTATTTCAAAATTGAGAGCTCTAGAAGATATATTGCTAATCACAGTTTGGGTGAAAGCAAAGGAACAGAGTCATCTGAAGTAATTTCCTTTTTACTTCTGTTGCAAATTAAACTATGTAGTATTTTGTACAGCTACATGTTCTTATGCATGATTAAATGTGTTTGGGTTTTTTTGGTTTTTTTTTTTTGGATGGAACATCTAATTAATATTTTCCTGGTTTGGGACAGAATGTCATCTGATTAGCTCTCATGCTGTAATAAATTGTTTGAGGTCCTTCATTTAAAATTGTGTAGATTGCTGTTATGCTGAAACCTGGAGGAGTTTTATATGCATAAGCAGTTCATGAATATCATGTTATAAAAGCAAAACTTAAACTATTTTGAATGAGAGGAGAAAAAGCAGAAGCTAATTGTGGGAAGGAGGTTTCCTCATTTCAATACTTCCAGTGTTGGAAATAGTGCTTACAAATATATTTTATTTAATTTCATGTTCTTTTGGTATTTAATGGCATGTAAATGGTCAGAGAGTCTATTTTCATATGTGACCTTACCATATAATATTGCAGCAAACCATTGGTTAACTACAGCTGCATTTCAATTATTTAGAGCATCACTTTTGTCAAAGTCTGTGTGAAACAAAGAGTAATTTCTCATGTGGACTGTGGAAGATTTTGCAAGACCTGAAGAGCTTTGCCTCTCATGTCTTTGTTCAGTCAATGGGTTCAAGCTGAATTAGGACTGAGTAAAATTGTAAAAATTTGATCCATAGGAAATTAAATGGAGAGTCTTCTCAGCTATTAATGTGACTTTAGAAATTTGAGGTGTTTCCTGGTACTGAGACTTTCTTGCTGCCTACTGTCTGTAATTTTTCCTATACAACTCAGCTGTGGTACATGCATGGAAATGCTCCTACAGCAGGAGAGTCTTTCCTCAGAATAGATTCTGATGCAGCTCAGAAGGCTTTATTAACCCATTTTAAGTTCAGTGGATTTGAGAGGGGGATGAAAATCAATTCTTAGTGAACATCCTTTAGATGTCATCATCTCTTTCAGCTTCTAAGTAAATAGTAAGAAATTCTGGATTTCATAGTGATTACAGGGTAACTATTGGAAAGGAAAAGGGCATTACTGTCTCTGATCAATTTTTCTGAAATGTGCCTTTGGATATTTTGTAAAAAGAAAACAGTCTCAAGCTGAGTTTAGAACATCTCATCTCTTTGGTAGCTGGATAGACATCCCAATAATTCCCAATGCCATGGTAAATGACTGCTTTGTTCCAGGAGATCTCTGGGGAGAAGATGAACTACCAGGGCCTCCCACAGCTGGATTTTGTCTTGTATTTTCACATATAAATAACCTACTTTACCTGGGGCCACTTAATTTTTGCCATGTGACTGGATGACGGTAAAGGTGACTTTGAACATGCACATTAGAAACACAAGTTAGCGATAAAATTTTCTGCAGCAAATATAAGCAAAAATTTTCTAGTGGAAGTTAAGAGCTAGTTCTCTGGAGATTTCTGAGACTGGTGCAAAATTGCTTTCAACAAGTGTGTAACAACCTATTGTGAGCTGAAAGACTATATCTATAGTACCTGTTACCTTCAGCAAACCTGATTTTAATCCTGATGGCAGATACTTCATTTATGCAAAGATGACAACTTTTACAAACATGTAATTTCAGAACAGAAAACAGCCATGGCCGTTGCTGCCATTTTTTTTGTCACAGCCCCACTTTATAGCAGGACTTCATTGGTCTCAGTCCCAAGCCTAACCATCAAATGCCTGCTCTCATTTCCTCTTTTCTGGTAGTAGTGGGAGGTGTGAAGAGTCTGGTGGTGATGGGAGTTTCCACCCATTAGCTTCTTACACAGGTCTGTGGTCTATTGTGTAGCTTTACTTTTTGAAGTGTTTTGAGCATTGTTCATTGTCTTCATTGTCCTCAACCTTAAGGTTGAGGTGGGAGGTTTGTGTTCTGTCAGGCTTTTCCTCCAGGTTTCCTTTTGTGAAGGACATGAGCTCTTTACGGATTAACAGTGACATAGATACTGAATTTGGTCATGTGTAGGTCTAGCTGCTGTAAACATTTGAAACAGGAATTAGGCTGCCTTTCCTGCAGTCTTGTTACTATAGAGATTCTTTTGATAGCGACACACATTAATTTCTACTGCTAATCTTTGCAGTTTTTTATACTGATTAAGGAAGGGTTTCTTTGTGTTGGTCTGCCTGCCATTTTTTCAAACTTGGAGCTGAGTTGTGTTTTTCCTACTTTGTCAGGCTGATTTTGTGGATGTTGTATGTGCCTGTGCAGAGCTGTAATTGAGTCAGGAGCATTATCTGCAGGGGAGAGACTGTGGGTAGGCACTACACCTATGAGGAATTATCATCTCTGTGCTTCATTTACTGTGTTTTAGAACTTGAAGATGAGTAATGTTCCGTGCCTAGCAGAGTTTAAGTGGAATGATGGGTTTATTTTCTTTTTCCTGGAGGATGAGATGTAGAAGTTAGTTGGCTGTGCCAGGGAAGATCCTGGTGTCAGATGCAATAATGTGAATTTCTACATGTTTGTATAACTAAGTTACTTCAGACACTTTTTTGTTATCAGATAAGAGTCTTAAGAATTTGAGATTAAAATGAGTTATGTTTATGTCCCAACCACTCCACAGTTCTGCTCATTTGAAGGAATTTTTATATATGATTCATTTATAAACCAGACAAGTAAATAGTTACAGGTTTGTTGAGATGCCTGCTTAAAGCATTGTCAATTCTTGTGATGTTTGGTGCTTTTAAAGCCTTCCTTCCTTGAGGAAGTAATTGCATTAAAATCTTAGGCTTTTTTTCATCTTTCTTAAATAAAACATATTTTTCATGTTGGTATAGAAGGCACATGCACATGTCATCTTGGAGTTCCTGAAAGACTGAAAATCTGGGCTACATGTAAGAGGAACCCAAAATCTCTCCAAGTTTTACAAGTATCCCCATGCTGCCTTCTACTGTTGAGGGTAGCAAACCGATCCTTGCATTTTGAACATTTGAGACTGTAGTTAGTTTTTAAGAAGAATTGAAATTAAAAAAAGGTTTTTATTGTGTTTACTGCCTACACCCCCTTACGTTTGGTTTCAACATGCCAGCTGCCAGTGTTGATTCTGAGAAATGTAAGTGTTCTACTTCCCCTTATGACAGCTTTTCTTTGCAGTTAATATAGATGGGAGAAAAAGGAAGTGTATGTATTGATGCAATTTTCTTGCTCACCACAGTCCTATTCATAGTTGGCTTTTATAATTCTCTGAGTACTGGAGAAAACCATGCTGTGAAAGTCCACAAGCAATGTTTTCTGATTCCTTCGTTGGTTTTTCAGCTCTTTTGAAAAAAAAAAAGATTTTTGATGTTTTTTAAGGTTCAGGAAATTAAGATTCTGTTAGTGCAAAGAACAGAGGCAGCATAGAGGGGGCGCAATTCACACTGTGGTGTTCTCAGTCAGGCAGGGAGGGATTTTCATTTTTTTCCCAAATCCGTTTTGATTTGCAGCTGTAAGCTGTCTCATTAATCAACAAGAACAAGTTGGAGACCATCAAGTCAATGACTTTAGACCGTCACATGACATCAGCTTGTAGTACTTTATGCTTTTGCTGCTCGCCTGGGAGGACTGAAGAACCTCTGCAGCTACTGTGGAATCACCTGAGGCAACACAGGTGGCTCCTGCTTTAAGAGTGATGTCTCAAAGGTGTCAGGTATCAAGAGCTACAACCCCAAGAAATTCTGTCAGATTCTGTTATCTGATGAGATAGTAAGAAGTTAAGATGAGGCACACA